ACCGATTATGTTGGCCGGCAGAGTTAAGAATTTATAGAACATTGGTTTCCATCTGAGTGACTGAATGATCACACGAGTTCATCTCGTAACGTGAAGTTCCTGGGTTCGACAGCAGGGGGAAGTTCGTAACGCATGTGTGTACTGTCGAACAGACTCAAAATAGAACGGAACAATTATTCGTTATTCTCTGATTCCGACTGGTATCAATCGATCCACTGAAGTTCATTACATCAAAAATGATTACGGTTATAACTAATTGGACAGAAACTGAAATAAAATTAAATAAGTAAATTACGAGTAGGACCCAACTAAAATCGAAAAAGGTTCGAGTCAAGAACAGTAAAAATAAGAAGTAGAAATGTGGTTGTAGGGGTACAAGGAGGAGAATTATATATAATTAAAAGAAGAAAACTGCATGTCCTGTGTTAAGACAGATTCAGTGCATCGTAGATTTATTGACTGAACAAACATCTTCCATATGCAGAGTTCACGATCCAGCATGTGGATTGCTATTGCTTCTGTGGTACGAAGAATTTTGATCGATACTCCTTTCGCAAGGCTTTCACGTATTCTGTAGATGACTGTGAAGTTGATTGTCAGGTTCAGTTGGTGGCCAGAGCCAGTCAGGTGTTCCAAGGTGGAGCTGCCTCTGTAGGGATCTTTTTCGTGTTTCATAGAAACAGGAGGGTAAATGTTCGATGATTGATTGTGATAACAGTTGCCAAGTACATCCGACACACCTAACTCTATACGGACAGGTGAATGGATAGATAAGCATTAATGAGACATCCTGTAGTGGTAGTTTATTCTTCACATTCATTTGAATTGCTGGTCTCGTAGCGAAAGTAAGTCGAGGTTCCGCTGAAAAAGTTTTCTTCAACGAGTGGGACAGGTGGTCTTTGAGTAATTCTGCCAACTAGTGTCCATTAAATTGTAGATTCAGATAGAGAAGCCTTTTTGGAGTAGAAAGTGTTGGTGGTATTAGTGTTTTAGGTTTTATGGATTTTATGATGGAGCCTTCGGCGTAGCCTAATTAAAGCAGCATTGTTTTCAAGGTGTTTAGGCCATCTTCAATAGTGTCACAACTGCTAATGTTGAGGATTCTGTGGCTAAATGAAACGATTAGGTTTTGTTTTGTATATAGAAGCATCCAACTATGGAATTTTGTGAGTTGTCCATTTCAAGTCGCTTTTCTGTAGATGCATTTTTCTAGTATTTCATGTTATTCACGTCTTGTCAGTTGGAAGTTCAGAAAAGATATTTTTGAGTTAGATTCCCTCTCTAAACTGAACTGAATCGCAGGGTGGTAGCTGCTGTAAAAATCAAGGAAGTTTCCCAAATTCTCATCAATAAATCATCCAAGTATCTTTTGTAAACAGGATTTTCATCATTAGCTGACATTAGTTAGAGAACCATTGGAAAACCAGCTGGGAGTACTGGACAGCTGTTTCGTCCTAGTTTGGGACTCTTCATCAGTACGCACCCACCGGGATTCGAACCCAGGACCTTCCTGTTACAAGGCGAGCTCGTATACCATTAAGCCACTGGGACCCGATCCAATGGTCCATGAATTCTAACTTCTGCCAATTCACGACATAGCGCGACCCCTAGCCAGTGTCTTAGGCGAGTATTTGTCCTCACGCCCGACCTGCTGCACCCTACTGGTCACGACTTTTCACTAGAACCCCAGGCAAATCGTAGTAAATTCTGTCTTCTTTCTACATTTAATATTATGGACGATTTGAAAATCTCTGCTAAACGCCCTGTATCAACAAGGTGTCTAGAAGCTGCACATTGTGAATATTTGCTTTTACTTCAGACATACACAAGAAAAAAGCCCATCCCTATAACAAGTAATTTAGGTAGCTGGTTTCACAGCAAAATCACTGATTAAGCAGAAACATACGGGTAAAAGATTATGTAATATTCTACAAGGAAGCATTTTGAAATTATTTAAAATTAATCGAGTGAAATAAGATTTGTTTCAAGTATAGTCACTGTTTGATGTCAGTTAGAGAACCATTGATAAACCAAAAATATTGGACGGCTAGCCGTTTCGTCCTGGCTCTTCGATTTCTTCAGCATAACCCACCCACCTCTGTCCGAACCCAGGATTTTCTGGTTACAAGTCAAGCTTGTACACCACTCACCTGCGAGAGTCCCAACCACTGCGCCGACCATGCACATGGTCCGGGGTTCGATCCCCGGCCGACGCACACCCGATATCTATAGTCGGCCTGCAAAATTTGGGCTACCGATATCCATGCTGAAAATTCCATACTTGTACTGAAAATACTGTGTGGAATCAAGCTGTAATCAAAATAAAAAAAGACCTAAAATTTCAACATTAATATTGGTTCACTGCTTTTATATAGTTCACAAACTTGGGTCGTCACAAAAAGCAGTCCCCTACAGACATTCATCAACAGCTGTCTCCGCTCCTTACTGAAGATAAATTAGCCGCGCATTTAGGATTAGTAAAAGGGAACTCTGGCAACGAAACACACAAATAACCATTTGTTGCCCAACAAATATGCAGATGGAAATGAGGATGGATTGGACACGCGCTGAGGCGACCAGTGAGTGACATAAGATGTAAGAATAGAACTTGGGTACTGTGGTAGAGTATAATTCCATCACAGAGTAAATTTATTTGACAAAGGTACACAGTAAAATAGTATTATTTACCGATTACGTTTACAGTACAATTTATTGCATTCACTTAACTTTCCAACTTCGTTTATATACATATATATATATATATATATCTGAATGGCTCCCATCTACTGGTTTGGCCTATGTAGTTGACTTCACTGTCAATACAAGGTATTTTGTAAATTACATTATTTCGTCTAATTGGGTCAGTAGGCTACTTTAACCTGAGCAAGTCTATAGGTTAAATGCCACTCTATTTCCAACTGGATTAAGAATCTTACGTAGGCTTTCAAATGTCCCTTCCCTATATGATAAAACTGTAAATGCTTACTTAATATTCCTCCTCATATATGTTGTCAATAAATTTTATAGGATAGTTATTTTAACACCAATCCTTCTTCTATCTGTTTCATTCCATCATTATGATCTTTTGATACGCTACTCAGTTTGTCAGACATTTAACTAAGTCTGCCTTCCACGATGACTGACATCAACAAGAGGTAGTCCCTCTAGTGGAACCTCAATGGAGAGCTACAGGTTAGACATAAGTCTGATAGTTATATGGGACAGATCATGTGAAAAGCCTGTGGGTAAACATGGAGTCAACAAAGAAAAGACAGCAGAGAATAGATTGAAATATCGATGTGCTAATGAAATCCTGTGTCTCCCTCGAAGTCAACGAGATGACAAATTCTGTAATGAAATAAGTCAAAATTCCTAGAAAAACCTAAAATTTAGTCTGTGTGGAGGTCAACAACATTCAGCATCAAAAATGAGATCCGGATTTTCAACTCCAATGTGAAGTCAGTCAGTGCTACTATACGGATCAGAGACTTGGCCAGCGCGTCACAAAGAGCACCTCAAACAAGCTACAGGCATTCATTAACAGATGTCTTCGCTCAATACTCAAGATCACATGGCCGGAAAGGATCAGCAACAAAGATCTCTGGGAGCGAACCAACCAGGAACCGATTGTGAAACAAATAGGCAGGAAGAAATGGAGATGGATTGACTGGCCATACTCTGAGGAAACCATCAAGTGATATCACTAGACAAGCCATTGCTCGAGTGGAACCCGATTAAATGGGAAGCGACGAGTTGGTCGTCCAAGGGTGACCTGGAGGAGATCATGTGAAGAGGAGATGAAAACGTGTGGGCAGACTTGGAGCCAGGTGAAAACTCTAGCAGAGAACCGAACGCAATGGAGACGCATGGCTGAAGCCCTATGTTCCTCTAGGAACTAAAGGAAATAATAATAATTAATTATTATTAATAATAATATTGAACATTTTTCACGACTGGATATACAATATGTTGCTCACCATTTTCTGAAAATAACTGTCAGAAGTTGGAATTCATGGGTCATAGGATCGGGTCTGGATGGCTAAATAGCCTACAAGCTTGATTTGTCACCGGATGACCCTGGGTTCGAACCATGCTGCTGAATAGTCCAAAACACTGGGACGAGACAGCTGTTCGGTACTCCTTAATGGTTTTCAATGGTTCTCTGGCCCCATCATCGATCCGTGATCCAATCTGAAACAAATGAAACCCCTATGGACTAACTCTTGAAAGTTTATATAATGAAAAGTCGTAACCAGTGGGGTCTGGGATGAGGACACTTCCTCTCCCATGATATCGGCGAACATATCGCGAATTGGTAATAGGTGTCATTAGATAGGGTCTTAGTAGCTGAATGAATGGTGACCGGAAAGTGCTCAGTTCGAACCTCGGTGGGTGAGTACTGCTGAACAGTCAGTCCCAAGCACTAGGACAAAACAGCTAGGTGTCCAGTACTCTCCACTGGTTTTCCATTGGTTCTCTAACTGATGTCAGCTGGTGATCGAACCTGTAACCAATCTAATTCCTGTAAACCAATATTTGAAAATATGTAATTCTAATTATCACTTGATTTTATCATGTTAGTATCAAAAATTCGGACAGTAAAGTGAATGATAACAATAAAACGCTTATTTCTGATTGGTTCAATTATCAACTGATAGAATGGTAACTCACATATGAATGTGTGTATACATCTATCTATGGATTAGTGTTTGTGTGTAATAAATGTTTTCGAATTACCAGTAAAAAATAGTTTACATTTAGACTGTATATATATTTTATGAAGTATACTAAGCATCTGAGTTAAATATGCACCCAAGCACGCATGCTATACATTCATACAGACAAGCTTCTCTGTAAATGTCGGTGAATAGATGAATGTATTTAAATATCGCGCTTATTTCTCTCTCTCTCTGTGTATCTCGAAAATGATTCACATAAACAAATAACACACACACATAATACATTTTAACTCTTCATTTTTATTTAATCTCTGCTGTCATCACTAGCATACCTCATCAACTACTTACCTTATTAAACTTGAAGTGATTACAGTACTCTTATTAGTGATGATGAGGTGATTAGGTAACCAAAACAGCAACAACAGCAATCATTATGGGGAAATAATTAACACATTACACTGTACATTCAAAATTCGATCGCCTATATGTTTAACCGAACAATTTAAACACATTCAGCCATTGTTCAATGTTCAATTCAAATAGTGTACTGTATAATTTCTATTCTCATTGTTAAACATCTCTCCAGTCTCATTACTATTATTATTATTACATTAATTATGATTAGTGGAAGAAACAGTTTTAGTACAAACGAGAAATACATCGTTTATGAGATGTAAACAGGTGTGAATCATTCATTGAATAAAAAGTAGCCTTGAATTGTAAAACACATACACATACACATACAACATGAAAGAGTTGCATGATTTAACTGCTAATTAATCAATTTCCTTATTGTACAGAAATTTAAAAAAACATGTCAATTATTCAAGTTTCTAGTCATTTTCATATCTGTATAGTATTATTAGTAGTATATTGCATGAATAAATCATACACAATGGAGTATAATAATTTCAAGGTGAGTTTAATTGAGTAAAACAAATGCATTGTTCTTTTCTGGTGTCAGTGTGTGTGTGTGTCTACGTGTGTGTTTGTGTTTGTAAATATGATTCGCTTCGATGATTTTTGTGATAAAGTCAATATTCTTTCGATAACTTATTTTCTCATCTGAATCTACAGTTATAGGCAAATAGGCACTTAATATTTGGAAAGTAATCGTTATTGACAACACTGGTGATTTGTTTTTAAATGATATGGAGTGGTAAAGATCAATAGAATTACAAACTGACTCTTGAAGATTAGTCTTAATGCTCGATAGCGACTGGTTCTATACAGGAGAAAACCACCATAGAGTACCGGATAGTTAACTGTTTCGTCTTGTTGTGTGGGACTCTTCAGAAGTACTCATACACCGCTAAGGATTGAACTCAAGACCTTCCAGTTAAAAGTCAAGCTCTTAGACAATACATCCAACGACTGGGACCCAATCCAATGGCTAACTACCAGTCAATGCGATCGGTGAGTATTTATCCCGACACCCGACCTGGCGGACTCCACTAGTCATAACTTTTCGATGGAGCTCAAGCCAACTTCGTTCTGTAGCGATTCACTAGTGAGCACTAAGATTAGTGGGAGATCCGGGACCGATCCCTGGAGAAGTCATGGGTTCGCAGTGCTGATGAGACCGAATCCAGGACGAAACAGCAGTCCAGTATTCTCTGGTGGTTTCCAAATGTTGGTTTGCAAAAAAATTAAACATTTGAAATAAATATAAATATTAGACGAACTGACAGATAGATTATTTCTGTTCCCATGTTGTGTGATGTTTCATCTTGATGAGACTGATGAATAGTAGGAGGAACAGTTAGTTCAACGAAGACACTGTTCTCTGGCAATTTCATTCAATTCACAGTGGAATCACAGTCATGCATTACTACTTCTTCCTGTGTGTGTACACTTGCTTGCTCATGCATAGAAAAAAAAATTACTTTGACTGGACTTTAGTAACTAGAGTCAGGTGTCTAGTCCATTCTTTGGTGCCGACTGTTTTCTGTCAGTCAGGTTTGCAATGTATCCACCATTCTAGGTAGCTCGCCATCACGGTGCACATTGATTTGATGATATTAGATGGTTGGAGGCAATCGGCCACAGGAAGCCTTGGACCTAGGTTTCGTGCTAGTTGGCACTCACAGTCAGCAAGGCGTATCTGCAAACTTGAAGGAATTCATGTCCCTTCTGAGATTCGAACCCGCGTCACCCAGTGCTGCAGTCAGAGACGTTACCACTGAGCTAGCTATTCGGACTCGCGATTGACCTCCTGTAGGACTGTATTGGATGTTTTGATTGGACTCTAGTAACTAGTATGATGTGTCTAGTCCTTTCTTCGGTGCAGACTGAATTCTATCACGTCATCAAAATACTTCGGAAAAGTGAAGACAAATCAGATTGTGGATGAGTCACGTGAATATTAGCGCAGTTGGACTTAAGTTTGCATAGTATTACAGAAAAACCGGATATTATATATATATATATAGTGAGGTTGATACATTAACTGGTGGAACCAGTACTGTTTCGCTAACAATGACAAAAACTGTTACGTTGTAACTGAAAACTTGGCAAAAACATATGCTCCACGCATGTTCTAACCATTCACACTGGTCAATCTACTTATATTTAATTGGAATTAAAGCGTACCAATCTAATCAGAAATAATATGCATTTATCGGTACGATACTTACTATTCGGTGTCTGCAGGCAGATTCAGACATCAAGTTGGTGAGATCAGAATATGACATTTTCTGTCTGCATTCTTTTTTCTAACCGTCAGAGCTATATAAAAATCTTTCCATCCGTGAATTCTAACTTCTATAAATTCACGAAATATAACGACACTATCAGCCACTCTTTTCAATTGACTTGGTAAACCCTATCGGTCACAGTTTTTCGCCACAACTCCGGGAATTCAGTCTTCGAGGATGTCATTATTTACTTAGTTTTTGTTTAATTCCTTTGCCTTCCTGTCGAAACATATGACTTCAAACTTTGGGGTTTAAAGTTGTAGCAGCGGTGATTTTGTCCTTTACTGAGTGAAGTTACCAGCCTTATTCCCAACCTTTCCTCATTACCTAAGGCTTACAACAGGCTAAAAGGGGTTACAGAAGTGCTTCGTTGGCTAGAAATTGAACCTTGGACCACTGAGGCGTGGTTGGTGACTATTCTACCATTGGACCTATCGACGCAGAAAACATTATCAGGGCTAGGCGCATGCATATAGCATACAGCCTTCTTCAAACCTTGCACTCACACACATTAGGTCATATAGTCGTTAGTGAGGAGTCAAGTGAATTCCAAATATTGGTTTGCAGAGATCTGATTGGCTTGAAGTTAAATCAAGAAGTGATTTCAGTTACAGAACCATTGCAAAACCAGATTATACAGAAAATCTGTTTCGTAGGCTATTAGATTTCTTCTCAGTCGCTGAACAGTCGACGGACAGGACTGTTAACCTGAATTTCATCACTGGATTCTTTCCACAAGGAGAGTATATGCGCATATCACTGAGGAGTCTCAAATTTGGAAGAAACCATATTCAGTATCTACTTCCTGAAGATGTTTTCAACGGTTCTCTAGCTGACTTATCACTTCATTGACCTGACTTGAAACGTGAACACGTTTTTAAAGCTGTGGACTTTCAGCTAGAAAACCGCCTAAAGCCAGGGAGCACTGCACAACTGTTTCGTTCTAGTGCTGATGACTCTTCAGCAGCACTGACACACTGGGGTTAGGATCCAGGACCATTCAGCCACTGGAATGCGACCACCAACCTGTGTCATCGGCGAGTAGTTGTCTTCACACTCTACCACACTGGTGCATCCCATCGGTCACGAACTCTCACAAGAACTCCAGTCAACTTCGTCCTGTAGCCAGTTTGTGGTAAGCGTCAGAATAATTTTGAAGAGTTGATTTGTAGGGATCTCATCTGCTTCAAGTTTCATCATGATAGGGCATGAAGACAAATACTCTCCGATGATATTGGCTGGTAGGGGCTGGAATTCATAGTCTGGCCATTGGATCGGATCACAGTGACTGAATAGTCTGTGGGCTTGGTTTTTAACTGGTCCTGCATTTGAACCCCGGTGGGTGCGTACTGCTGCTGAAGAGACTGAAGCACCTGGACAAAACAGCTGTCCAGTATTCTTTGGTAGCTTCTCGTGGTCACCTAACTGATATCAATCCGTGATCAAATTTGAAACAAATCCGATCCCTATAAATTAACTGGTTGAATAAAAAATTCGCAGCTGTCTGCTTTACCTCACGTTAACTCAACAAATATACCATAGCAATAACATGGCGGGGGGGGGTGGCAGAAAAACAATTCACACGTCAAATGAATGTTTGAGTAGATTTGACGGGTAGGGTTGGGAGGCGGAAAGCGGTAGGAAGTGTGAGATCGAGTAGATTAAAGTTGAGTCATAAGAAAAATTCATGAACCAAAGGCAAAAACAGCCGATAAAAATGTTTTTATAGCTGCTTATGTAATAATAATAAAATATTACTAACACCTTTATTCTGACTAATATTTTTACAAATAATTCAGAATTTTCAGTGTGTTTTATCTAGACTCCTTTTATAGAATCTCCAAGTTAAACAGCAATCTATAGCGTATCATTTGATGGGGAATTTTTGTTTTGATATGAAACATTCTGCAATCCTCCCAACCTTCACGGTTTTGTAAGGGTTTAAAACCACTCAGAAATACACTTGAGTACAGACACCTCTTGAAGGAAGTAGTTCGATGGTTCGAACAAAATGAAACTGATTAGATTTGACGCATTATACTCTGTGGAAAAATAGTTGGAAACCAGATAATATATGTAAGTCACTACACTTTATATAAATCAGAATTGTGTAATTCGGATAATGCCTGAATGAAAAGTATTCAGAAAGTTAGAAAGATTTCACACACAGGGTAGGATGGATGAGACAGCCTTCAAAGGACCGTATTTCAGTTTGGAACAGAAGATATCAAAACACTATTTCATATAGCAAGAGAAATAGTATGATAGCTCTTTTATGCACTGAATGAGAGCTGTATGCAAATATCCCTTCAAAAGGTATGGGAAAAGTGTTGGCAACAAATAAAAATCTCAGAATTTAATTAGTGGATGGGGACTAGCAGTGGAATCCAGGATGCGCGTTTCGTCTTATTTGGGGCTCGTCAACTGGATGTACCTGCATTCCCCAGTGAGTGATGATGTTCAGTCGACGGGAATATCCAAAAATTCAATTAAATAAGTAAAAATCTCGTTTATATTTGAAAAATGCACATATAAAACACTGGTCCTTGTTCATTTACTAAAGTTTAGTGATGTTGTGTGTGTGTGTGTGTGGTTGGAGGAGATGCGCTTAATACTTGTATTAGGAATTTGGCTATTGCACTCAATCTTCAACAGATGTGTCAAAAGCTTGATTCCTATTCCACCTACTTCATTTCAGTAGTTTCATTGGCTCTCATACATGAGTCTGCCTCATAACTTCTTAATTAGATGTCTTCTGCAGGTGAATGAGTCCTGTCCACGTCTTTCATTCGAAATTAGACAAATGTTTGCCGAAATTTAATGATAGACGTTTATGTAACAGTCCTAGGAAAGGTAATCGCCACTTATCGACACTAATAATTGCGTGTAATCATTTCAATGTTACTTATGTTTGATGATTGAAGGTAATCGGCATACTGATAGAATTCAGTCTGCAAGAAACAAAGGACTAGAGACACCAAACTAGTTACCAGCTAGTGTCCAATCAAAGGGTGTTATTTTTTAGCATAACTTGAATTTCCCTTTGACTGGTGCATCTTGGGATGATTTTAGTCATAGCGATGCACTGTAGTGCCTTCTTGAAAGACATAAGCAAGAAAACGAAGATATAGTGATGGCTGTAGTTTCTGTCAAAGTGGATATGAAAGAAGTTTTAATAATTGCCTGTCAAATCTGTTACCCTGTCAGCCTCAAGGGTGGA